TCTCTTTTCGGACTCGACGATTTGCGGGAACCTCTGTGAGACACCTGTCGCAACTCCTGTTGGTCTGCAGACCCCATCGAACCCTTCGACATCCACTTACCATTATCCATCCCTGGTCCCTCCACCCGCCTCCCTCGCCTCCAATGCCTCAACCAAGTCGCCATCAGCAGTGCAGCTGTGGAGGTGTTCTCCTGAGGATATCCTGCGTAATCCCACTTCTTCGGACTCCTACCGCTATCCGTCCCTGGTACCTCCGCCTGCATCCCTCGTGTGTGGCGTGAATAGTAACAATTCCTAAGCAGTGCCTATATTGCTGAAACAGGAGGCTTCTACGGATATGGATCTCATACTCCTTAGTAGCATTGAGAGTTATGGCAGTGGTTCAGTTAACTCCATGGACTGGACGTCGATGGAGTCGGTGTCCTCACCGGTCGAGATGCGTCTGCATGGACCGCTGCCGGTGAGGAACTCGGACGAACTGATGGCTCTGAGGTAATTGCCATTGATTTATATGCTCCAATATATATTTTCAAATTCTTAAATGGTCCTCAGGAGAATGATCTAGAGAGAGGGTGGTCGTAATGGTCCCTGTTTGGTAGTAGTCGAGAACAAATAGCATTGCCGAACAAGAATTCTAATTTTCTCAACATTATGCCAACTAATCTGAGCCTTATTTTAAGCACTATGTGATAATGGAGGGTATGTCACGGGTTGATGCCTATTTCCTGGTTGTATTGGGAATGTGGCACATTTATAAATAAATAAATAAATAAGTTTTATATTTTAGGCCCGGAGGGCCTCGTCATTGCAGAACGTTGCCAGTTTGAGAACAAATAGCATTGCCGAAGAAGAATGTTGATTTTTTCAATTTATTTTCTTCTTGCTTTTAGCAAATTGAGCAGGCTCCGGACTGCCAGGAAGAAGCGGGCGCATTGTAGCCTGCAGCCTGCGAATGAACTATACCAGCCGATAACCTTTAATCTATGCGTCGGTTACGCTTCGTGCACTAGACAGCCGAGGCACACCAATAAAAGGAAATCAAGTAAGCGGCCTATTTTATGCAAATTTTGAAGAATGCATTGGCCTTGAAAGCAATATTTCTCTATTTCTGGAGATATGACTAGACTGTGAAAACATTTTCGAGTGTCAGCCCCTTCTATTGTTTGTCTTTGCAGACCTGAAGAAGCCTGCCGTCGGCGTCACAGGAACGTCTCAAGTGGCTGCCACTGGTATCCCCATTTGGGGAGATGGCAACGACGGTGAACCAGCGAAGCCTCCACAACGTATAAGTTATTAGATTAAATCTCTTACCCTCACATATCTGAATATGTTCGACTGATCCTGGATGTCCGTTTTCCCTTGCCTGGCATGTAAATCCTTCGTTTTATCGTCGATCGATCATGTCCCGTATTGTCCGAATTATTCGACGGTTACCTTGCCTTCGGCCCTCCAGAACCGAATGAAGCAATTTGGAACTTATCGGTT